TTAGGAGAAAGTCTCAGTCAACTGAGCTTGAATAGGATTGCTTTTAGTTTGCCATCGTAAGGGTGGATTTCCTCTATCTTTCTTTTTTACTCCTTTATCTTCCTTTTTTACCATCCCTGGATTTTTCAGGTTGTAGGAAAAGACCTGGAGCCTTTCTACCAGATCTTTATCTAGCTTCAGTGGAGCAGTTCAATAATTGTACACTACAAACTTTTTTCAGGGCCGTCGTAACTTTGAATGGTCGCTAAATGAATGGTCGTAAGTTGAGGACTACCTGTATGATCCCTAGACTATTTGTGCCAGCTCCGTATCAACCCAGATCTGTTCGCTGCTCTCCCAACTTCCAGAACCCCTCGGGGTGAACATTTACCCCCCACCCCCCCAACCAAGATTTAGTCTTCATTGCAACATAACCTGGCATTATTTTCATATGTGTGTGTGTGTGTGTGTGAGTGAGTGAGAGAGAGAGAGATTTTTAAAAAGAAAAAATCAATACAAACTAATATAAAGTAAGAAAAAGAAAAGAAAGAGAAAGAAATCAAAGAGAAAGGTAAAAATGCAAGAAGGGGGGGAGTAAAGAACAAATAGAAAAGAGAGTAAAATGACACAAAGAAGTAGCTTCCGATTTTCTTTACAGAAGCCATAAGTACAATTATGAGTTTACCTCTTACTCTATGGTTACAACGTATTTCTCTTCTTTCTATAATCGATTCTGTCTAATCATCAAAACCATAAACCATAAATTCATTTTTTTCGTTTCACACAAAACGTCTACAAGAGCCTGGCATTATTTTCCCAGCATTATTTTCCCTCTTTCTACCTCTTTGAGAAACAGCCTGCAAGGTGTTCTGCTGATAGCTTGCTCTGGCAACCCAACCCGGGTGCATTTCCCGTTCTATTTAGTTCAACAGCCATTGAGCAGAGCAGATGTGAAAGGGCTTTAAAGGACTAAATTCAAATTCTGCACAGCCAGAAAGATGAGAAGAGAGACTCCAGAGTGGGGTTTTGAGATCCAACTTGAAGATCCAACTTACAGCAATCAGTGTGAACATCAAATGATTTCTGTTGGAGTGGTGTCTCGATGTTTATTTGCAGGTATTTAATCTTATTTTTGGCTGAACTGAACAATCATTACAGTCAGTTCCTAACCTATTCATCATATTTAAATTGTACAGCAGAACACAGGATATGCAATATCTTTTTTAATTCCTTTGCTACAAGAGCGTTGCCTTTAGTTCAAGAGAGCCACAGATGACCCGTTTAATACAGCTGAAGCTCTCTGTTGGACTCTTGACCACCCATGCAAAGACTTTTGTCAGCAAAAAACTGGACCAATCGATTGGATAATTTTGCATATCATGGAGAAACGGTGCAATAGCCGTTTAATAAATCACAATCGAAAATGGCACGTGCTCCCTTGATGACAATTTTTGATTTATCACCTTCCATTTTCATTTCTAAGCAATTAATTTGTAGGGCAAATTTTCTCTTCTCGGCCTTTTGGCTAAAACCAGGCATAATGGCACTGATTCTAGCTGGGCTGTTTTCTGACACTCCTTACACAACCAGATGATTATTTATTTCAGTTAATCTGCATTTATCTGCAATGGGGGGGACACCTATTTTAGGGTTTATGCCACATTTGGACAGTGTTCCTACAGCGCTTAGGTCGCCTAAAGGCCTAGCTGCTACATTCACACAACATCTGTGAATCTGGGTTACTTTTTGATGGCTTAATATATTGTACAGACCAGGCTATGCAGTTGGATTTTTTGCTCAACATACTATGCAAACCCAGAATGATGGGCTAATTCAATAACCAGGCTGGGCCCTCCAAACAGCAGGAAAATGCCAGTTTTCGACAGTCATGACTGGGAAAATTACAGAAGCCATCCAAAATTCCAGGCTGAAGCTAACCTGCCTATTCTTGTGGAAACTTTGAAAGAAATGGGATGTGGGGGAAAAAAACAACTTTTAAGGTGGGAGGGTGATGCAAAGTGTGCAGGAGAAACAGGAGAATCACTTTGGCATTTCAGATGAACGCATAGAGCAATTCAAGCATGTCTTGTTTTGAAGTAACAGGATACGTTTGAAGTTGATACTGCCAATTTTTAACAATTAATTCTGGTTCTTTGTTTTCGTATGATTTGGAGTGGATTTAAAAAAGCAAAGCAAAACTCCTGAATCTATGTTTATAGTCACATCCTTCAGCAAGAAATAGAATTTCCATTCTCTTTGGAGGGGACCATTGCCTTTCGCCAGTAAAAGGTCTAAAATCCAAGTTCTGGATAAGCTGTGACGATAACATTGCAACAATAAATTAAAACATTGGCATGTCTTTCTTTTTAGTAAACCCCACAATATGTACACAAAGCTGTTGTCAGGTTCAGCAACTTGACAGGCAGAAAATAAAAACGTTTTCTCACTGCAGACGTGCATCAGGCAGGCTCGTGTGGTCAATGAACCAGGGACGGGGGGGGGGGGGGGG